AAATCATGAGAAACCGGACAGGTTTGTGCACAGGTTCTGTGTGGTTCCCTGAAAACTCAAGAACTGACTCAGAAAGCACCATAAGAGCATCCAATCAGTGCCTAGCAACAGTTTGGAAAGCTGAGAAAATGCTTAGTCACATTCATACGACAGGATACGGAAGGAGGACACAGAATTTAAAATTCGCCTCTCCAGTAAAACACTGAATTTGGTTAAATTCCTTAAAAGAAACCTTTCAGAGGAAAGCAATAATGATAAAAGCATGCAAGCAGCATACGAAGGACTGGGATTTTCCGATGACTCTTTCTCATGCAAGACCCTTTCTACTTATCAATGCAGTAAGTCTTCCCAGGACCATGTCCTCCTTTCCTGAGACCCTGCCTTTCCCAGAGCTGCATGGGCATGAATCTTTGTATCCAGTGAGGCAGAGAAGTGCAGTCCTCACTGAAAGCTCCCACATTTGTCCTAGGAGGGACAGAGACTAGGTAAGTATGATAAAAGGACAAAGTTTTCTCTGTAAAAGAACTAGATTTTTCTCTCTTGTGGGTGTGTTCAAGAAAAAATAAAATTCCCTGGAGGCATACAACTCTCAGAGTGAGCTTTCTCTGGTGAAGACATTAGGGTCCCCTGGCACCCTTTCATTATGATGAAGAACAGGGGGAAAGAGTGGGGTCACAGAGGCTCAACATCACCCAAGCAACTTCAAAGAACTTCAGGTCTGCTACTCAGCACCACAGTCCATGAGGAGACTGCAAGCAAAATAACATAGGAGAAGCTCCATGACAGCATAGGATTCCCACTGTCAAGCTGCCTTCTTATCCTATCTTTTATGATTGTAGGCACCACTCACCAACTTCAAGTTGATGGATTACATCCTAAATGGGGTCAGAAGCAGCATAGAACAATTAGTGATATTAGTCTGGCACTGCCCTCTGACTGATCCATTAATCTTAGAGCAGGGGCGACACTCAACAATATTGAAAAACAATACACATTTCAAAGGAAAATCCCTCCTGTATATAATCAAATTCTGAAATCCACTAATAGGAGATATTAGTAAACTAAATAGTTAAGCAAAATTATAAAGAAGACTTGATATTTACATCAATTGAAATAGCATTCATAGTTGTATTTGCTGGATTAGAGTCACGAGGGCACTAATTCTCATCCTTAAAAAGAGAAGCTGATTGCCAGCTGGGATTATGAAAGAATTCCCTCTCTTTCCTTTGTCTCATAGGCTACCAGAGTACATATGGTGGGTACCGATTATCTTCCTATAAAACATTATAAGAAAGAATAATTGAATTTATTATCATTGGAGAAGCCAAATTGGTTGGGTCAATGATCTTCCATTATGGTATGACAACTCTTCTGAATAGCCCAATACTTCAAACAATGGATAAAACAAACATAGATGCTTATATTTGCTCTTCTTTCCCCCCCTCACCCTCACCTAGAACAGTTCAAAAGGTAAAAGCCATGTCTTCATTTTCACGGATTCTTTACTGTGTCAGCTACAGACAGTCTGGATACATTTTTCTGGCAGAAACATTGCAAAAATCTATTCTAGGTCAATGACTTCCACTGTCAGGATCATTCAAAGTGTTCAGAAGGCTCAAAGGAGAAAAACAAATCACTAAGTATTGGTATTATGCAAGCTCCCTGAAGAGGTATTGACTGCATTTATTGCAAAGAACTGAGAAGCAGCTTTAATGTCATTCTGTTCACCAATGTCCTTTCTTTGCAACTGATCTCACATAATAAACCCTGCTACAACAACTAGCATGCACTTTGACTAGCCTAAGGACAAAAGGATTGTGTATATGTAATGCTGTGGGTTATAAACGTGAAGTAATGCCAGTGAAACACACACAAACCTCTGTGTGTACAGGACACCAGGCAGAAGAAAGGTAAACACAGTTTATGCTATGATCACAAAGATAACTATGCTTATTAAAGCAGTTCTATAAAATCCATTAAGCTAACGCTATTAAACAGCAGACATGCGAGTAAGTATGTATGTGATTTCTCCTGTGAAAGAAGGATTCACGTGAAAGGATTCAAGTTGCCTTGCCTTGAATTAGGCGGGGTGTGCGATTCTACAGTGCCTACACACTTGTAGTTCAGCTGGGACACCCATTGCAGGAACGGCAGAAGGTATTTCTACAGCAACAACCTTTTCCACTGCTCCTGCCTCCCGCAGTGACACGGATCATTAATGGCAGCTGCCACGGGAATGGTGCACTCAAAGGTCAGTAGCACCGCTCCCTGCACTGCCAACAGGCAGGAGCTGACGGCTGGGCGCAAGTGAGGGATTTTGCCCCAGAAGATCCTCTTATGTTGTCCCTAAGGTTCTGGAGCAGTTCATGCACAGAGGTGAGCACTGTCTGCCAAAGAAGGTGGAGACGAGGGATTTCTCCATCCCAGCTCTAACACAGGTGTAAGTGGGAAAGAGGATCTGTAAGAAAACAATTGTTCTCTCCACAAAACAAGCAGCAGGCAGAGCTCTTTTGTCATACAGCGAAAGAAAAACAGTCAGCAAGATAAAAATACGTCAGGCTCTTTCTTACCTACATTCATCAATATTAGCTCTCGCTTACCTTACAAGCAAATGTTTAAACCTACAGTGAAGCCAAGAAGTCAAGCATCCTGAAATCTCTGTCTCCAAAAAACAGCTTTCTGGAACCATTTCTGATTTTGAGTAGCTAAAACCAATACAGTTCATCAGTGCCAGTGGAGCATCAGACAACTCAACAGTCCAAGACCTGACCAGAAGCCAGGCAGGAGCCTGCGCCACACAACGCTTAGCCACCTCGTCAAGTCTCGCTCCCAGCCTACCCCAAACCAGGAAAAAAATCATGCATTTCTCAGCTGGCCTGTGTAAAGCGGAAGCGTAGTCTTTTAAGTCTTTTTCCCATGAAGTTTTAAATGACACAAAAATAGGGGGAGTTGCACCAAATTCTACCCATTCCTTTCCTCTAATTAGACATCTACATTAGTACTGCTAATCACATAGTATGCCAGTGTGCATATAGATTCTTATGTATCTGTTTTAGTTAATAATATTTTAATAGTACTTTATAATTCATATTATAATGTATTTTAAATTTTCTTTTTAATTTATTATTATTTCATTAGGGGTTTTATCTAGTTGTGACACTAAAGCACTGGGTCATTCTTCCCGTGAAAGCTCAATATCTTAAGCTTACTCACAAGGAAAAATGTAGAAGCTCACACATCTCTCCTTGATAAATGAGACCTGTCAGAAGCCAATGATCCCAGTGCACAGGATACATAGTACAGCTGACTATGTGAGCTCAACAACAATGAAGAAATACTTTTTACAGTCCACTATTTTGTGACAAAAGGGTCTAGACTGCAAACAGTCTGACTGTAATTTACTTCCCGAGTGAAGATTCTGGGAGCATTCTGTGTGAAAATCGTTTTATGTTTCTTCCTTCCTCCAAATCCATTATTTTTCCATGGAAGCAAGTATTCTATTCTGTAACTTACGCAATTACACAAACTAAGCCGATTCCAAATGTATATAATACATGTTTTATGTGAGTGCTTTCTTTTTTCCTTTTTTTTTTTTTGAGCTAAAACATCAAACACAAAATATACATAGCATTTGTTTTGTGTACCGAAACACAGGAAGACATTATTCTCTGTCATAAGGATTTTGTTTGAAGGTCCCAACTCTGCAGAAAACCTAATAAAGTATATACTCATTTTTATAGTTAACTCAGTAAGAACACTCACAGCATGTGTGAGTCTTTGCAGAAATAGTACTGATGTAACTAAAACTGTAAATGTTACATAAAAATATATTCACCTGTAATTACACTACAATTTCTAATAACTTTTTTCCTAAATAACCTCTTTCAAATAAAACCTTGATCAACCACCCCCAAGATTCTTTGCAGAATCCACATCCCAACATTATGTCTTAATGTCGTGCGGGAACAGCTATATAATTATAGTGGAAATGCGCATGCCAGCATATAGCACCACCATCTCAGGGGGACTGCATATATTACCACCAGTAGTTTAGTCATGGTTCAAAAGAAGTCAGCCCTGAACTCATTAATTAAAGAATTCAGCTGTATTCCCTAGAGAGGATTTTGAGAGAGAACCAAAGGGTGACTACAGAATGGCTGCTGCTTTGCAATATGCCAAAGATATTTTTGGATTTATTTTGTAGAGTTAAAACTTCACTGAAATTAATTAGCTATTAAACAGAAAAGTTATGTGACTGCATAGGTTTTTAAATGGCAAAACAGTTCATTTCTAGGGAAACACTGTTCTTAATAATTTACAAACATTTTACAGCCTTGTATTTCCATTAGTTCAGAATTTTACTTGCAGTGTATGTTACATTTTCTAGCCTGTTCATTATTTTATAGATTTTTACAGGGATGCCTTTCAATGAACCACAGCATAGGAACAGAGAGAAACACAGAGATGATGCAGGGACTCAGGCAGCTCAATGAATTAATACTGGGATGTTCCTCTCCTCAATTTGGTAGCTGTTAACACTACTGCATCCAGTACTCTCTTCTCCTCTGTGCTGAGGTGGCATCTGCGAGCACCAGGGTGCTCACTACCTTACTCCTCCAACCCTGGGGCAGTAACGTGGCCAGTCTCCCCAGTGGAAGAGCAGGGAGGAGATCAGTGGCAGCACAGTTTCCAGCTGACCAACACCCATGACCTTCGTCATTCTAGCTAATACAAACTGTTTGAGGTCCATGGAGATCTAGACCAGTGAAGAGCCGTCTTCTATGTGCAATTTCACCTTGTTTCATTGGTCATATTTCAAAAATCTAAGCCAAAACAAAAATCCGTAATACCACAGCTCATCCCTGTCTTGCAATAAAAGTAGAGAAGGCACAAAGAGGCCAAAGAGCTCTGATTCCACCTGGGCATACTGACACTCCTGTGAAAGAAGCCAGGTAATCTTATGTATTCAATCACAATTCTTTTTCTTCTAAAATACTCACCTGACTTTCCCTTTGGTGTTTCTAAGAACAGTTGCAGCAAAATTTTGCGTAACACCAACCAGACTGATGCCATCAACTTCCACAATTTGGTCATTCACTTGGATCCTTTCAGGGGAAAACCACAAACATATAAACAATTGTGTGAATTCTTGGTGAATTTTCAGCAAAAGTTAGAATACAGAGATCTTTTTAGTTTGATTTTAAACAAAGACTTTAAACAAATACTCAGTCACAAAATGACTGAGGTAAATATGAAAAATGCATCATTCCTTGCACACAGACATCTCATAAATCCAGCTTCAAAGTTACCATTACAATTAATAGCATCAATCATCCAGTCACTTTCCTTGTATATAAATACAGCAACACAAACTCTTGAAATTGTCATATGACTTAAATTAAGTAAGATACTTGAACAGTTCTTACATCATTCTTTCCTAAGCCAGTCTTGAAAAACAGCATAAGACATAGCTCTGGTATTTCACGCTAATGGAAAAAAAATGCAGTATTTAACTAAAACAACCTGCTCATCTGTGGAAAAAAGAGCTTGTGCATCAGACTTAATTGTGACCTACTCTCTTAAAATATTTCATCTAACTTGCTCCAAAAAGATGAATTCCCAGTGTAAGTGTGATCTTGCTGCACGCAATAATAAGACCTTGGACTGTTTTAATGAGGACTCTCTCTGAAACCAAACACCTATTTACAGTCGATACACTGTTTGATGCAGGAAAAGTTAGGTGGAATAAAAAACATGCTGCTTTTATCTGAAGCAAGCACTGTTATGAAATCTCTAGAGCAGGCATTGGACTCATCTGGATTACAAATGCTTGGAAGCAGGAGTTCTATACTAAAATGTCCTCTAGAAATGCACGAAGTCCTATAGTTTCAGAAATTAAAAAAAACAACCCATGTTCAGAACTAGTGAAAGGGAGCAATTTTCAAGTACTTACATGGATGCTACTGATCCAAATGATAGAGTTTACAAAGGAACCAAGGAACAGCTATGAAAAAATCCCATTTAAATTATATGAAAATACCTAAATTAAGCTATTTAATATCTTGGGATACCTTAGTGATAAGACTTCTTTTCAAAGAACAACAGAGGCTTCAAAAGAGGGGTGAAGCATTTTGACTTGGACCGCTAATTCCTCTGTCAAGTCTAAGGCAATGCTTTGCAGTTTACAGGTGTTCAAGCAGTATCTTCAGTTCTTTGGACTCCACTGATGAGTAAGAAATACATAATTTATTCTTTGGCAGCCTCACACCACAGAATGTCACTGTGTTCTGGGCAGGATCTCCCTTCTGTATATAAGAAACCTTGAAAAAATTATCTTCACGACAGCCTATAAACTCCTATCTTGAAAATCATATCAGGCATTTTAATCTCAGAATTTTATTTCAATTTTCACTGAAGCATTTAATAAATACACCGATCACATTAATATTTATTGTATTTTCATACTGTAAAAATTATTTATTTATTTTACTTTAGTAAACATGAGGTGCAGTCAGATGGCTGCAGGAGTTCCAAGAAAAGAAGTTTAAGAAGTTGGTGCCCACTGAGTGGGAAGCTGTCACCCTCTTGGCTGAAAACTAAATGGTGGAAGAACAGATTCCTTTCCGATGGTAGTTTAGCTACAACACTTTACACACTTCACTATGCACTGGACTAGCAGTGTTCATACAGATACGTAGTTATAGTATTCCAGGTGATGAAACGTCACATTAGAGAACTGTTCCCTGCAACTTCGTAAGTGGCTCTATCTTGACCTACTGCAATTCAGTCTGATTCCATTTGTCCTTCAGGCATATTTTGTATCTCCTTCTTTCTTGTTTGTAGAGCTCCTAAATTCATTTCCAACTCTTATTTTTATGGCCATTGTTCTCCAAACCTCCTCTCTTTCTATACATACATGTATTTTAATTATATATAAACATACATACATATCAAACAACATACAATTAAGATAATTGTTATTCAAATTATATAATTACATGTAATTAAAAAAGAAGTTTCCTGTCTGTTGCCGTGTACATTCTATACTGCCCAGTATACTCTCACAGCCATATTCTCCTGGCCGCCTTCCTCTTCCTCGGGCATCCCCTCTCCAGCCCCACTCCCACCACAGCTCTGTACCTGTAGCCTAGCCCTAATTCCCCAGACAAGCCACCCCAGTCACCATCTACACCAAAATATTCTCACAGCCATGTTCTCTGGGCAGCCTTCCCTTTAGAGACCCCTCCATTAGGAGCTCTAGGCTCCCTCTGGCTCTCAAATCTAATTTCAAACATGAACAAAAAATTAGGCTCAGGTTGGCAAAGCCTGAATTATAGAGGTTTAACCACTTTTATCATTAATGAAATTGGTAATTCTTCTGATAATTATTTTCTAATGGTCATGACAAATTTTTGCCTATGTGAAGCAGCACTTCAATGAAGTAGCAACTACAGAAGTGAACTAACTCAAGTTGAACAAATTACTTGCATAATCACTGCTCTGTATGATGAACTGAAAAATTTAAGCTGTGCAGAGACAACGCTTAGAGTTTCAAGAACTGTGTAATGTTTCAAAACTGTTCTCAATGTTATCAAAATACTTTAAAATGCAAATGACTCATCACCACAATAATTTGAAAGAAGCAGCTATGAATTCATCCAGGAAAAGATTTTATTCTTCATATTCAGTCTAACGATTGATTTCATATTTTCATATTAATCTCTCTTATTACTTACCAACATGCTTGCCTTTGGATTAATCTCGAAGCACCCTCCTTGGTTAAATACTGCCTTTGATATGACAACTTTGATACACCTTTTGATATGACAACTGAACACTACCTGTTTGTTTGCATCAACATGAATCAAGCCAGCGGTGCTCAATCACTGAGAAACCGCTTTATACAGATTTTGGGTTTCCATGGGTGGCAAGTACTTTATATCATGATTCAATGGGTCTTTCAATAAAAGATGGGAGTTATCCTACAGATATTGTAATGTTTTAAATTGTAGCTTCAGAAGAGCCTGCTTGAAGATTGCTATGCGGTTATTCAGAATATCTGATGCAACTGCTGAAATATAGTTTTACTTTCTGTTAGGAGACTTTGTTTTGCTATCAGTGTTAATGATTAACTAGGCTTTTCCCAAAGATGAAGTTAACAGGACCCTTTACAGTTGATGCACTTTATTACAGAACTGGCTGAGAGGATTATATATCCCTTTCCCAAGTGAATGATCAGTGAGGCTCTCAAAGAGAAAATCAGAGGGCTATTTCTCAGCTGACTGAACATTCAGCCAGTTGAAAACCAACGCAAATATTAGAATGGTCAGAGAAAGATATTATTTTTTCTCAGCTGACAAGCTCCTTTCAGATGCCATCTAGGGAAGTGAAAGAAGAGACTTGTGACTGAACATTAACTTCTGTAGCCCACTCAAACACGTAAATAATGAGAGGAACAGAAAATACAGATAATCATAGAGCAGTAGTGAGCGACTGATTTTCAACCAGAGAATTTCACACAGAATGCCAGTCGTGAGCTTAATGCCTTCTGGCTGAGCTCAAGCATACCCTTCAGAAAAACGTTCACTTAAATTTAAAGTAATGGATGAAGTCATGACATCTTGAGGTGTCAGCTTCTTCACTTCCCTTCATAATATTTAAGCCTATGATAAATCAGTACTTGGCCTTCAACCTGTATCTTATCGCCAAGATCTGTAAAGATACCTGCAAGCCCAATCTGGAAGAAGGTATACTTCAGTAGTTTCAGAGCAGTGTTATTAAACTTTCCAACCCCCTGCCATGTAGAGCCTTCTGATTTAATTTGTGTGAGGTTTCCACAGCAGAACAACCTTCTGCCTGGCTGAAAAGTTGTAAGTGTTCCTCAATAAGGAACATGTTACTGCAATACATTTTTAAGAAGACAGTATGAACATTTTAGAGTTTATTCTTACTCTATTTACCTGTGTTAGTGTTTGCTATTATTTATAATTAATATAACAAATCACTAATGGTTAAAAATAGAAGTAGTAAAATGCATATAAGTAGACTTAGTTGCTAATGTATCAGGTAAGTAATATTTTATTTGCATGCAAATTTACAAAGGGTATGCACTGGCACAAAACAACAAATTATATGGGTTGGAAGATGTTTAAGAATACTTTTCATTATTAAATGATTACATAATAAAGTGTTTTTCTAACTTTTAATGAGAAACATTAGTCTGATTGTGGCAGGTATTGTGTAATACACAGATAACTCTGTCCTGTATGATAGGAAATACTGTATGTTCAAAAGGAATTCTCTAACCTGCACATACCAAGTAAGCAATTCTAGAAGCAACCAGGTTTTATATGAGCATCGTAAAAGACTACAAACACCAATTCATTTCTTTAGTGGGCAAGATTTATGGTACAGCTTCCCATTCCAATTGATTAACGTACTTTCAGTGCTGTAGGGGTGAAAACTGAACTCTGGAGCAGAAGACTATGCATAGTAAGGAATACAAAGTAACAGCCTGTGTTAGTAAACTTGAAAGGAGGTGTTTTTAGTAAGAGTTTAAGCATTCAGATACACTAATTATTTTCCTGATCAAACGTTGAGTAGAACTCTTTTTCTTAAGTACAGATTGTTTAAAGCTGGTTTGAAGCCAAAAGAACACATGGGAGCTCAACACCTTTAAAATCTAAACTACCTTCAAAAGTGATACGCAATTTGGAATCTCCAGCTTTACTCACGCTAAAGCACCTGGGTTTTCAGGTAGTCACAAACACACATCTTTGGCAAATCTGTTCTCCTTAAACAGTTTAAACTCAATACACCGAACTGCTGTCTTCTCATAACCACATCAGGTATTTGGACCTTACCAAGGAAATCTCCGAATTTTACAGCTTTATCATGACATACATTAAGCAAACAACTCTTTTCTATGAAAATCATAATTCATAGTAACTACTGCTGGGAAAATTTCCAAATACTGAGTCTAGTTTACCTGCCATCTCTTTCTGCTGCCCCACCTTCTGTTACTGTTTTGACAAATATTCCCAGTTTTTCAAGGCCTGCATCTGCTCCGACTCCCATTCCAATAATGCTTATGCCAAGTCCATCTTCATCTGTGAAAAAGGAAAGCGAAAGCAGAAACTTCTCACATTTGATTTATATAGTTTTTTGGTAGATAAACATTTCTGCTTTGGTTCCTCTTGGTTTTCCATGTCAGTAACATTAATATCCTTTCACTTCCTTTTAAAAACTTTATTTTCTACCATTTTAATTACACACAAAAAATATAACCTTCACCATTATGAGATATCACCTTCACCCTTATGAGGAGCTCAGAACAACAATCAAGATTTTTACTCTTCCAGTGGAGAATGAGAACATCGCATTGAACACTGTGTAAAATCATATGTTAATGGAGTGACAGAAAACTATTCCCTTAGGGAAATAAAGAACTGCATGTCTCTGAACTGCTTCTTTAATTCCTTATCAAACAATTCTTGAAATCCAAAAAGCCAAGGTGACTACAACAGATTTATGGAAATTCAAGATAGGGTCTGTAGGCATGTTGTACACGTGTAGATCAGTGTCACAGGAACTGGAAATGGCACACAGACTCCATACCTTTTTCTAGTTCAACTGGGAAGAGCTCCAGCTTTTCCACACGCTTCTCAAGTTCATATTCAGCTGATGCAGCCACTGGGTCAACTTCATCATTTCTCCTGTCATAGTCTTCATTGGAATATGTATTGAAAACCTGTGGAAACAGACCAAAAATCACTCAACTACCTACTCCAAAAAGACTCCCAACTTATGAAAATAGCTACTGCTTTTGTCCTGTGATGTTGTAGAGTTTGAAAAGGCTTCTAAAACACAAATTTATCCTCTTCATTCAAACTTCAGGTTTTTAAATTTGTACTTTTTCACTCAATTAAAGCACAAGTATGGTTGCAAAAGTCATGTGAGTATAAATGATTTATTTTTGTTGTTTGTGATTATAAATGCAGAAGGTGATCTTGAATGACTAAGTTGGCCTATACATGCCAATCTTTAAAATACTTAATTCAACTTATTAAGAATGCACTATTAGTAAAGATTCATAGACAGGAAAAAGCAAAATACATTGAAATGACGATCTGCATACAATCTCTGTTTCAGCCTTTTCTCCTAATGAAGTTCCAGTTCACATTCATCTAACCAAAGCTAGACCTTAAGATTACTAATCTACTTTTACGCCGCCTATGGATACCATTAGAGATTATGCTCCATGTTATGTATTAACTTTTTAGGAGAGCAATATACACAGCCATGGATATTTTTTAAACTAACCAGGTTTACAAATTTATTTCAGCTCTAAAGCAGTAATTTAACATTGACTGCATTAACCTGATTATATTATTTACGCTACTTTCTATCATAATTTCAACATGAACATGGCCTTCTATCAGAGATTATTCAGACCTTCAGGAACTTCAAACAGTCAGGAAAAGCATATTTTCATATTTTAGAGGTCAGAGTTTGCCAGCCTAATTCACTTAACTGTCCACATTTGGCAGTAATGAAAGAATACACATTATTAGTGGTAATAATTTTACTGAACTTGTGTCCCATGCATGTATCATGTTCATTACTTCAAATAAAGGAAAACAATTTCCCATACCTCCTCTTCCTCTTTTACAGACACCCTACAGAAGATACAATTATGTAGCGATGTTTTTCTATATCACTTTCTCTTTCAACATAAAACACTGCACCATGCTATGTAGCTACACGTATATTCAGGTCTCAAGAAGCCTGCTCTCTTACAGCCTTGCTCGGAGGCTCCTTAACGACTGCCCCTGGAGCAAGCATGCCATCATGCTGCCCAGTGCAGTGCCAGAAGCTGGGCTCATTGCCACCTGAGGTTTCACCTCCCAAAAAGCTGTTAGTGCAGATTAATTTCTTTTAAATAGTAAATATATTAGAATTGTAATACAAAAATACTATTCAATACTATCGTAAGTATAGTAACTGTGTTACGGCTACCGCAAAGCTACTGCAAAAAAACTCCCGGCTTTATATACAGTAGTGGTTGAAACAGAAAAGACATTAGTCACTCTATGGAAATTTTAACTCCTGTATTTTACATCGATGTGGAACACTTAATAAATTGCCTCTTCCAACAAGACTGAGATGATAAACGTTTTACAAGAATCCACAAACCTATCTCACATTTATTTTTAGTGATATTGATGCAAGAAAAAGGCTGTTTTAATTAAATTATGTTCCTAAGAAGCCTTCATAAATATATCCAAAAGCTAAGTAAAATAAGTCACATACTAAATGCTGTCCAATGCTGCTGAACATTTTATGCTGCTTTAGTATGTATGAGATTGGAGAAAAGACACTGATGCAGAAATAAGCATAAGAAAATGTAACAATTTACTTGGTCTAAAATAACCTGCAAATCTATGTGCAAGTTCTGGCCACGCAACACACAACTGGAGAAACTGTGCAAACAGCCAACCCCTTCAAAATGTAAGCGATCACCTTCAACTCCGTCCCCAAGCTTCTGTTTGTGGATGCAATAACTGCATCTGCATCGGATATTTTTTAAAGGCCTTGAACGATGTATTCATTTCTGCTCCTGCTGTTAACCCCATTGGGTGTTTGAACTCCCAGTTAAAATGGAAAGCAAAATGGAGGGTGTCCATACCTGCTTAACAGCCTGACAGAGGAGCTCTGAAAAGTCTTTTGTTACTCCATGTCTTTCACAGACTCCTGTTACACAAGACAAAGCCTTCTTCGTGTTATGTACCCCTGCCTGCTGCTTCTCCGTGGGTCTGAACACTTGAAGACAGGAAGAATCATGAACATGGTTTTCTATGTAGGCCATATCAAGCTAGAAAACAACCCGTAGATCTAATGATGCTAGCCTGTATGTAGTGAAAAAGAAGCAGGTAGGGGACAGAAGGCCATCCCATTTATCTTTTGATTGTGAGATGTACGACTCACGACAAACATCTCTACCCTGACACAAGAATAGATCAAACCAGTCAGAAGAGCCCACTCAACAGCAACGAAAAGCCCTGCCGCAGGCCGGTGGGTAAGCTCCCTTGGCAGCTAACCTTCCCTCTGGTTTGTTGTCAAAGATGACTATTCCCACTAAGGGCTCAAAACCCAACCTCATTCACGCTGATATCAACCAAAATAAGGATCAATCAGTGGAGCTAGACCCAATTAAAACATTAGTGAGCTAAGGTTTGACCACAAACCTTTAGGTCTGAAATGCAGCAGTCATGCAAGCAAGTACAAGTTAAAAACAACAGCTGGAAGGTTAGCTTGGATTGTCTCATTTATCAACATCACAAGAGAGACCTCTGTTTCAAATGTGGAACAGAGATGGATGTTATCAAGGAAAATGGAGACACAGTCACTAGCTGTTGAAGGATGGTGAGAGAGGCAGGTAAGTATTGCTTGCTGTAGACAAAGATTAGATGAGGGTGAGGTATAGGGAAAAACTATGTCACGAAGTGAGTACATTTATTTCTGGATTCCTTTTCATCATGTTAACTGGCCCCATTCTTTTCCTTTTGTTCAATGATTGGCATTAGTATATTGTGGCAGCAGTTCCAGATTTGTTGCAAAGTGACTGGATATGCTTCAGGATAATTTTCTTTCAAAGCATCAAATCATATATTGACTTCTTGTTTGGGATGATCTTTCTTGAACCAGATCAGATAGAAGAGATGGCTTCTTGGATCTTGCTCACTGTTTTGGAATATTTAGATCTGCACACGAGAAGGGAACTAAAGATACTGTTGGTGGTGAATACAGTTATTATTGCGTCTCCAAATATATCATGCCACTCTTATCTAGTATCTTACCTAAGCATTGAATCTGAGATTGTAGGATCACTGATAGATCAAGGTAAAATAGCGTATGTTTCCTACCTGGCATTAACTCACCGTCTTTTGTACATGGGTCCTATGATCTTGCCCACTGCCTTCAACATGTGTTTTGACTAGAGGAAGAAGGAGGATATTCTTGTATGTCATTTACCTCATTTTGCACGATTACATTTAATGGTTGACTGATTCTATTAAATTAATCTCTGGGTGTTAAAATAAAGACAAGAAAATTTGTGCTTGGAAATTTTCTTTCTTTGTGAAACAGTCTATCCACCACAGTAACAAACTGCTTGCTCAGTACAGTCATGAGAACTGTCACTCAGGATTTTACTTCACTAAAAATAAAAGAAACAGTTATAACTTTTTCCTCAAAGTGTGCTTAACTTGATTTAAGTAGCCCTACTTCACCAAGTCTGTTGCCGCTGTGTTTCCTAGAGCATGTATGGGACTGCAGACTTAAGGGAATTCTCCCATTCCCTGTGATTTAACAGATTTGGTTTTGCCCTCACTACCCACTACAATAAAGTGTCCTGAGCCATTACTTAAAGAATGTTCTTTTTCAGGAAAATCCAATACATCATCTGAATCGCTGGTTGTACCTCTCCATTAGAAAAAAATAAATTTCCATGGAATTCACCTATGATGTTTACAAGGATTTACAACAGCACTCATAATCGAGCAACAGAGGAAATGAAAAGCCACCAACAGTGGTGACAACCCAATGGATACCAAAGCTCAACGTGTACATCAAAACAAACAAACTCCAAAGAACTGACAGGCTCATTCCAACGCTGCTGTTAACAGAACATACTTCTGTCTTCTCTAAAGTGAAAGAAAAAGGGTCATCAGTGATTCATCCAGCACCAAAATAATGACAAACTGTATGATCAAAGAAGCAGGTATTATTTTTAGGCACCCTGGGCAGCACCCCCAGGGACACCATACATACACATACATGACTACTTGCTTCTCTTTCAGAGAGCAGTGACAGAGCACCATCTAGAAAAGACACGTCACTAACAAAATATGTTGCAGACTCTAATTCAGAACCCCCCCACACACACATTCTGGTTCTAATACTCCATTTTATTAATAAGACCAGAAAAATACAGCAGTAGATGGAAACTGATTATTCTTGGAAAAAGGAAAAGTTTTTTAAGTTTGGGGCATTTTCTCATAGCTCTCAACTACCAAGAATCTTCACAGAATTTTGCTGGCAATAACCAGTAGGTAGGGACAACTCTTTTTTTTAAGGAAGGCAGAAAGGAGATGAACTATGAAGAATCGCATGGGCTATCCTCCCCATGGGCTAGCCAGCTCGGTGCTACATTAACCATGTTATTAGTGTTGCATACTATAAAGTCTGCAACATAAAAACTGTCTCATCTGATGTGTTAAGAAAGTCCCAAACATACTGAGTATATCCTGGATATGTCTATACTGCCTTTGCAAATTGTACCAAGGATCAAGACCTGATCCCAGGTTCAGCTGCTACTGACTGCCTTGTCATCCATGCTTTTTACCCCTCCAATGACTGGTGCCTGCTGAAGGGAACGAACCGTGCAAAAACTGCATATTGGTGGAGGCCACCTTGCTGCAATAGCTGTTCTACCACACCTTCAGTTACCCAAGTCTCTCTAACACACTCCTAAATAGTCTCTCTTATGCGCAACTCTTGATTACACCAAGTCATTCCACAGCAGGGGCCACAGACAACGTATGCTGGTGATCACTGTGTAATACCTTTTATGAAACCACGCTTTCCACCCGCTATTGCTGCTGCTGTCATAAAGCCTGCTCCTCATGCCTCTGTTCAGAAAGTAAAAACAGCACCTAAGATCCGATGCAGTCATCTGGGTAAGATATT